AAGAGTGGGTGGCTGGAAAGGTGGGAGGGGCTGGGAGGAGGGGAGATGGGTTCTTGCACAGCTGGATTCTGAACCTAAGCCTATTGCTACTCCTGATGACCATGGCATCCCTCTGGCTCTGCCCTAGCCTTGGGGAAGAGCCCAGCTCTGGAATAACCAGTCTGCTCTTTCCTTCAGCCCAAAGAGTCAAGTGTATTGACATAATGCACAATACTTGTTAACCACTCCAAGAAAAGAAAGACCCACTCATTCTGTGTAGCTGTCTGAACTAATTTTAGGCATATATAAGGTGAATGAGTGTGGGGGGGGGGTTGAATGGGGAGGGGAGAAGAAATCTAAAGAGGCTGTGCTTATGGCCAGTACATAATCAGTTTTTTCCCCTTCATCTGTTTCATACAAAAGCTACCCCCGATCACTGTGGTGAGCCATTAGGTTCTTCTCTTCAAGTGTTAATTAAATGTGATATTTAAAAATATAGACTCCTCTCCAGGTGGAATACACTGAGCTCTTTGTAAATTGTTCTCTGCCAGTTGGTTGGCCCAAGAAGCTATAGCTCATTTCCTTGTTTCTTGAATTCCCCAGTTGGGCCACAGCTCCAGCAGCAATAAGTATAGAGTAATTATTTCTGCCAGTTCTTCTCCATGAAAAGGGCTGACTCTTTTTATTTTTTTTGGTTGGTATGTGTGTATTTTAAGGAAAGGCTTGTTATAATATTAGCCCTTTTTGTTTTCCCTTTTTTAATACCCACTGGTTCCTCTAAGATGTCGCTGGCAAACACAAAACCATTTGATTTTGCTCCTTCTACAAATATTTTCCACTTGAGTCCTATCACTTACTTTTGAGTTGTGAATGTTTAGCTGCAGAAAGCTCCTGCTCCAAGGAAATCAAGAGACTAAATGCAACTGACTGAGTTTGATTTTGATTTAGGAGGAATTTAATGAGGCTTTGGTCCAAGCCCACTTTGGGAAATGGAGCAACTCCATCTTTTCTGTAGCCACTGGAGCCAACCAAGGGGTGTAGGCCTAGCCCAGGGAAATGCATGGCATCATGTGATCATAAATTTAGAGGGATGTCAGAGATTATCTACACTGCCCAGTTTGCGGTTAAGGAAACTGGGTTTTGATAAATTAATTAACAGAATCTGAACACAGGTCAATCAATCAACTAGCATTTATTAAGCAAAAACTACGTGGCAGGCATAAAGAAAAAAGCAAAAAAAAAAAAAATAATAATCCCTGCTCTCCAGGAACTTACATTCTAAATGGAGTAAGACCTTCTGAATCCAGATCTAGCCATCTTTCCATTGAATCACAATAAACACTCTATTTGGTGTCCATCTGGCACTCAACTCTTACCTGTGGCTCCAAGAAGCTGTAACATGCATACCAGTCATACCCCCGTATAGCCATTTTGGCAGGTGGGCTAAACCAGACTGAGGATAACCAAAGGGTCTCAAACCCCTCTGTGAGTTAGGACGGTGTTTACTCCAAGCATGTGAAGACTTTCCCTGGCAGGATGGGCAGATGAGAACAATTTGTTCCAATGGCCTGAAGCAAGTGCTGTGGAGTACTTACAGCTTGGTCAGACATCAAAGATGCCAAGGTCATCCACTGCATTCTGGGCCATCTCCAGTCCTCTTGATTTTTGTCTCTTGCCACTTGACTTTGATGATTTTGGAAGAGAGGGTGAGGCTGATGACTTTGCGCAATTCTGCCTAACTTAAATCCAATTCATGCACAAGTCAAGACATCACCCTGTGATGTCATTGGTCCTCTTCTAAAATGAAGGACAAACAACAACAATACATACTCTAGTCTCAAGTTACCATGTTATGTCGAGATCACTCTTACCTCAGCTGCTAGATTGAAAGATCAATGTGCTGAGTGATTCTTGGTATATCCTACCTGACTTGGTATCTTTCCAACTTCTCAAATCTGTCCTCTTTGTCTCAGTGAGCTATGATTTAATTATCCATAGAATTTGGCAAACCACTTCCAATCATCACAATTTTCTTCCATTAAGCACTTGGTGTTCAAAGACAAACTATCTTGGACCATGAATGCCATGTGATCAGAGGAGATATTACCTCCTCACTCCATTACCACTTCATCCCAAGAACAGGCCTAGATACACAAGTCCTGAGGACCACTGTTCTTCTCCTCTAACAGGATTTGTACAAGAATCCTCCAGACTGGTAGTGTCAGTTCAGATTGAGAGCAGATTCTTTCCTACCCCTTTTAGGGCAATCCAGATTCATAGGCATATAGTGATATTAATATCTTTGTTCTATCATTAAAACCACATATCCCAAAGAGATCAAAGAGAGAAAGGACCCATGTGAACAAAAATATTTAAGGCAGAAAACTAAGGTGGTACCCATCAATTGGGAAATGGCTGAGCAAATTATGATATATGACTTGAGAAGACTTGTATGAATTGAAACAGAATGAAGG